TGGATTGCCCTGAGCTCAGCAGTTTAAGACCAGCCTAAGCCAGAGTGAGACCCTGTCTCTACAAAAAAAAGCCAGGTGTTGTAGAGGGCACCTGTAGTCCCAGCTAGCTCCTTGGGAGGCTGAGGCAAGAGCATCACTTGAGTCCAGGAGTTTGATGTTGCTGTGAGCTATGATGCAACAGCACTCTGAGGCCCACAAGAGAGACTCTGTCTCACTAAAAGAAAATAAATAAAAAATAAATAAATTAGTGATTTATAGGAGATGTTTTTGGCAAAGTTACTGATCTTCCTTCACTCAAAATAATTGTTCCAGTCATTGCCTTGTTTTATTGGAAAGTATTGGCTTATATACAGTACACAGAAATAAATTCCAGGTAGACTTAGATGTTTTCCAAAATAATAGAAAATGTGAAGAGAACTAAGTTTCAAATTCTTAGTAGCTGTTAGGAGAAATAATATAAACAGAAATACTTAAATACACAAAAATAAAGACTTCTGAATAAAATAAAATAGAAAACCCAATATAGGCCAGGCTCATGGCTGTAATCATAACACTCTGAGAGGCCAAGGAGGGTGGGTGGATCATCTGAGTTCAGGAGTTGGGAGACCAGCCTGAGTAAGAGTGAGACCCAGTCTCTACTAAAAATAGAAAAACTTAGACAGGTATTGTGGACACCTGTAGTCCTAGCTACTTGGGAGGCTGAGGCAAGAGCATCACTTAGGTCCAGGAGTTTGAGGTTGCTATGAGCTATGATTATGCCATGGCACTCTTCCCAGCGCAACAAAGTGAGACTCTGTCTCAAAAAAATAAAAAACAACCCAAATAAATGTGGAATGCTACCTAGAAGTCAGAGGCAGTAACTAATGGCTGAGAAAGCTGTTGTCAGCATGAAGGAGATACCAAAGATGTTTTTGGCCTCTGATGTTATGTCCCCAGAAGAAAGATACCCCATGTGTTCCAGTGGGTCATGTGCTGCCTCCTGCTCCTGGGAGAGAAGGAAGTGAGTGGCCAGAACACACAATGGGGTCTCTCCCTAGGGAGAGGGCACTGAAGGCCACTTCCTGGCTCCAAGAACACCTGAGCCTGCATGACCATCAGTGAATTTACAGCCACTGGACACGTCAAAAACAGGCAAAATGATACTAAGCTGACTTAAGAAAGCAGGAAAGCAAATTACACATTTTGGAAAGATCTCCCTGAAAATCTTAGATTATTGGAGGATTTAGCAATCCAGAACAACCTACTGTGTAACATAAGTTATCCTGTGGTACATGTAATCTTTCTAAACAAATACTCTTTTGTATTGAATTGAATTCATATTCTCATCTTGATTGGAAAATGACTTAACATTTTCACACAGGATTAGAAACTGTGGCCTGAGCAAGTGGGCACTGAGCAGCTGACACGGAGTCAGCGGAATGAAGGTAGCAGCCTCCCTTTATGGGGAATTTGAGATGACACCACAGGAGTTTCATTTCATCCCAGGGGTCCCTGCTTTCGGGTTTTCACCTCATTAATCTGAGCTCCTATCTGAACTTCCACCTCAGTGAAACTCTGAACTTTAGCTCCATCCTGATGTGATAGCTCAGTGATTAAAGCTCCTCTCTAAAGTACTTGAAGCCCACACCATCAGCCTGGGCATCTCAATCTCTGAAAATCATTGAGCTTAGACATCTCAACCACAGAAGAACCAACCACCTCAGTGATCTCATCTTTACGCTGTAGTCTTCCCAGTTCAGTTAGCCTAGCTCCTCTGAAGTGCACCTGTGGTCATGCTACTTTGAAGGACACATTAGTGATATTAGTCCATTCTCAAGAGATTACACCCAGTGTCTTGTCTCCTCTCTGATGAAACACTTCAGTGCCTATTAAGTAACATAAGTATCTCATTTTCTTTCTGAATTAACGCATCAGTGTTACTAGTGATATTAGTTTCCTGGAGTTTCACTTCAGCAACCTCAGCTCCTTTCTCAAGACATCAATGACCAGTTCTCTGAAATTCATGCCTTAGGTGTTTCTAGTTCCTCTCACCAGTGTCTACACAGAAGCAGGGAGACACTTTTATCCATACCATGGTGTACTGTGTGGACTGAAGGATCAATGCCAAGTGCCTGTTTTCCCCAAGAAGATGACAGACCTTAGGAAGGGGTGGGTGGAGAGAGTCCTCCTCCCTCTCAGGCACTCAGCCTGTTGAGGAGCATGTGAAGTAGTTTGAATCTCATACAACGTGTTTCCTTTGTAGCTGGATGCTACTAGATATGGCTGTCATAGAAATTCATTTCTGGCTCGGCGCCTATAGCTCAACCGGCTAAGGCGCCAGCCAC